ATTTATTTCATAAATTATTCAGTTCAATAGGAATTTCAATTGTACATAATTCTAAAAGTAGAGAATAATTTTTATAGATCTTATGATTTTCTTAAGAGTATAGTTTTTTGGACAATCTAATAGAACTGTTTTCTTTTTATGGTTTTAAAAGACGAGTAACTTGTTTCTGCTATATGTCAAAATTTGTATTTATTACAATAACAAAATATCGCGACGATTAAGATGTAGGTAAATGACGAAGAATGTTAAAAAGTTTGATTTTTTTACCGATGAGTGTATTACATAGAACGTTTAATCTATCATTTTGTAAAATATATTTTTTATAGTTATAGTTGACATTCAATTTTCAAGATCCTTTAAGATATTGCATTTTCTTGGTCAGTCAACTGTTTTTCCGTCCATTTACGTAACTTCGACGATGCGTAAATGGAGTAATAAAAGTATGCATGTTTCAGTCGGAGGCAACGACCTAGAGTATCCCGAAAATAATGTATGCCAGTAACAGCATTCCAGTCTCGAAAAAATTTTTAGCTAATTATTTAATACATTGATGAAGTTATAAATGAAAATTTTATTCAAAATTTTTATCATTTATAACTTTCATAAATTTAATTATATATTTAATGTGAAAATTACATTAAATTTGAGATTAAATTTTCATTATAAAAAAGAATGAAGTGCTGTACTTATAACGAAAAAAATATTGCTGAGATACTTATTCTTTCAGAAAATTCTTATAGAGCATTCATGAAGTAATTTATTTATAATATTTATATGATATATTAGAATTTTAACAAAACAATTTTTTTAATGATACGTTATAATAAACGTTATGATATCATATAAATACCACTGATTCTTTAATTTAATGAACAATGTTAATAAAATTTACATATCAATAATAGACAGTGAAATTACGAAATGACATGCAATTTCAAATATTTGTTAATTATATATGCCGCGTTAATTATCGAATAATTGTTACAACACATAGATAATACGACGTAATAGGAATATCGCATCATAATATTTACAATGATATGTGATAATAAGTGACAATGCGCAGATAATGTATGCAGATTTCGTATGAGCCTTCTTCGCCATATCTCTATTTCTTATATGAAAATTTCCTCTATCCAGCACATGTGTATGAGAAAAAAAGATAATAAACCTGCGAATGGGTATATAAGGTAAACAAATAAAAAATCAATTTACAAATAAATATAAAACATATATTTAAATTAAATGCCACAAAATATCTTGCTTTGCGATAAATCTGACGTCAGAGTGTCCTTTTTTTAGTTCCTCCACGTGAAATTATAGTGCCAAAGAGAAATAAATCAACTATCCATTATTTTTTTATAACGGTAACGTGCACACGTTTTAACAATATGCTAAAGAAATATATAATACCGATATGTCGGAAATTAAGTGAACGTTATACGCGCTATTTGAAGAATCTATAAAAAAAATTCGCTAAAAATCACGGCAATCTAATTCGCCGAATAAGTCCTTCCGATCTCATCGATATATATTCAGTCTTCATCAATTTATCATTCTACCGTGTATCAATCCACCGCACCACAGTTTCACGCGGATTCGTTAGAATTAATTAAAATACTAGTCGTTTCGTGCCGCGTGCGCGCTGACGAAGCAAGGGGGAGTCGAGTCGAAGAAAAATACAATTGTCGCCTCTCTCGTTTCTCTCTCCTCTTTGTTCCCTTCTCTTTTTCAGAATTAAATAAAATTTTCTTATCCAAATGCGTTTCGTCTCTATAAAAAAATAAGTAAATTAAAAGAAATTCATAGGAATCTATTTCGAATTCAGGATTAAATTAACATTTTATTTTCTTCCATTCGTTTCTGATGGTTAGTAACATATCAAAATTAAGACATAAATATACGTAAAAAATATTTTCTACATATGTATATTTATGTCTTAACTTTCATTACAGCCGTGAAAATAAATATATGAAAGAAAGATTTGATATTTTAATAAATCCAAAATAATACTTAATTGGAATTTTGGAAAATAAATTTCTATGAATCTCTTTCAATCTCTTCCTTTTTTACACAGTTCAGGAAGATGCAGCACCGGTCATTTTCTATATTTTGCCGGTTGTAGGAGCATAAGAGTTTTTGAAAACGAATACGCTTTCTTAATGAACATGTCTCTTATAGTTAAAGAAATTATTATTGCTGCAAAATCGATCATGGATCGTATTATTGCTCTACGAGAGCTTGGACAATAACGTGAAAAATCCGTGACTCCTCCAATCGTTGAGCCACTATTAGCCAAAGAGCAAATTCTTTAACGTTTGTTATCGGAATCGTTTCTTAAGACCGCACATAATCCATTGATACGATCGTGACTTGCCGAGCAATGAACACTAACTGTGGTACATACAAGTGGCTTTCAGGAAAACAGGAAACCGTATCGTTTCGCGTATGGACGTAGCATTTCGCGACATTTCGTTGATTCGTAATATTTCGCATACTGGGCTAATTTGTAGCTGCCTGTTTCTCATCTGACGTTAATATCGAGCGAGTGAAGCTCAGAATTAAAGAATCGCATTCAGTGCTGAACGTCGCCGCGCAATTTTCATCACTTCCATGATTCTTATGTCAAGTGGATGACGCTAAGGATCAGGAGGATCACAACTAATATTAAATGCGGCATTATACGCACGAAATTACGTAGGTGAGACGCCTGTGAAGCAATTAGAGTTTCAATGCTTGCTAGTTTCAGTGAATGCCTCCTCCCCCCTCTGCAATATTTGCACAGATGCATATACATACATCATATGTAATACGTCCTTATGCAGCTATGCGGCTAATTGATATTCGTAGGTATACGCGAGTAATTATCTGCTTACACGATTTATGTACAAGTTATCACGATTTCAGGTAGCCGAGAGGATCAGTAACGACGATGTGAAGCATCGCTTTATACTGCGCGGTAACGATATTCAGCGCCTGTTTACATTCAATATAATATAACGCACATACACACAAACACACACATGCATACATTCCATATTCCTCTGCCCCTTGACGTTTTCCAAATAATTATCGCAAATTGGCTTAATTTTTATCATTTCTCAATTTTTTTTTACTACGTTCACCAATAAAGAAATTCGTTTATTAATGCGAGCAACAACTAAGCGGAACAACGCAGATTGTCTCCGCAGGATTAGTAATTTTTTTTTCTCTTGACAAGGCGAAATCGATGGGAAACGGCACAAAAAGCGTCTCTTATGCACAAGATGCTTATGCACAAGATATGTCTACCATCAGGAAAAGAATAGAACGCGCTACGTCCTTGCCGCCGAACACATATAGAGACATCTACAATTATCTTACTAATCATTAATAGTTAAATATCACAATCTATGATAAGAAATCCGCGTATATGCGTCTTGCCGCATCGCTAACTACCCGCGCGTTTTTCACCCGTCGGAAAATTGCAGTGCGCAGAGATGCAAATCAACGAGTACGTACAAAAATAAATAATCGTCTTGGATGAATACAGCGGGATCGTGTAGCTCACTAATCTGTCTGCTTGAGTCCGCGTGCAAACCTACGTGGTACGTCTACGATTTATTTGGAGCGATCGATCAATCGTTCAAAAAACGAAGCGCTAAAAATAAAACAGGCCTGAGTCGTAGAAAAGAAATTTATCGATCGATTTTTGAAAATTTCTCATCTATACACATACAATAATATATATTAATTTAATTCTCATTTATGTCATACATTTGACACATGCGTCACAATTCAATAATTATATAGTAATTAAACAGTAACACACCTACACTACAATATTTAACTATATACAAATATAACAAATTTTGTTCGTTTCGTATCCTATAGGGATAAGGAAGAATAAAGACCTGGCATTTTATCAGCGCTTTAATCAGTGCGATAATCGATCGTGCCAATAGTCGTTCGCGTAGATTTATGCGGACTTTTACTGATGAGCGGAAATGAATACAGATTCACTATTGAAAAGGCAAATAGATGAAATAAATTTATGATGCTTTCACAAAAACATTTCATTTAAAAATAAATTATTATTTCTGATATTTATCGTATATGAGAATTCTGAAATTTTTAATTTAAATTTTCATCCACTGACCCCTTCAATTTATATATCGAAATATAATTCACTCGAAAGAGATTATATTCTATTTGTCCCTTTTATATATTTACATTATAAATCTCTTGTTTTGTGAAATTCAAAGTAACGTAGAATGAAACCAACTTGAAAAATAAATCACTCGGAGCTACAGTTTCTATCATATCCTTATGGCAAAAACGGTAAAAAAAGAAAGAAGCGGAAATATCGTTAAATAATGACGGTTCGTATTTTCAGAGTATATGCAAAAGGGATAAGAGATCGTGATCAATAAAAAATATATATATATGTATATATATATGTGTGTGTATATATATATGTATATATAATATATGTATGTACAATCAAGATTGTACAACTATATGTATGTACAATCTGTTTACATAATGGAGAAATAAGTCAATGTTTTTTTCTATGCAAAAACTATGTTTTTATAGAGGATACTAAACGCCTTTCTATGTACAACATGGGACAGATAATCTGCAATCTATTTACAAAATTTATGCACAATTCAGTAAAAAATGCACTGTGAAAACAATTGCGTACTTATAATTTTCCCGTTCGTAAAATTTTATGTGCAATTATTAATTTTTCATTTAATTAAGTTCAATCTAGTTCAAAATGTAAAAATTATAAAGAATACTGCATAAATCATGATATTTCTCTTGTCAAAAGAACATTTTGAATCTTTAAGAGCCGAGCGAATAAACTTGGTATTAAAAATAATTTGTGATATCATGGCTTAACAATTTCAATCCTGACTATGATTATGAAATCGAGATGTATATTAAACAACTTCATAATTATGTTTTTAGTAGAAAGATCTAATGAAACATTTTATCACAATTAAAGGTCGCTCGATTTATAACAGAAATATCCCTGATACAAAACATAAACTCTTACCTTGAAAAGCACTTCGAAATCACCTAATAAAAAATTCGTTTCCGCAATCCCTGTAAGAGAGTCGTGATACGTGTTGTTAAGAAAACAGGACTGAAGGAATGTTCTGCGACGTGATGAACCGTATAATAAATCTCTCAGTGGTATACCGTGAGGATTCTGTGTAAAAATTATGATATCGCAATGTTGTTATGCATTCATTCATTCACTGTCATCGAGACATGCTCTCAATTATTCTCGTATCTGTTTATCTCTCTTGATCTTTTTGTATCTATTTTACATTATAAATTCAGCGAATAAACGGAAATAGAGCATCAACCCGTTTCTTCTTTTTATGAAGTTCCGTGAGTTCAGGTACACGTCCACATACGCGATCATCATAGGCCGTTGATCGAGAATTCTTCACGGCACAATTAGCGCATTCGTGATCTGACAGATTCGTGCTGCGCGATATTAGCAGTGAAAGATCACATGGCGCATTTCAAGTTCGACAGGAGTGTCGCCCAAGGTGATACATCGCAATTGATCTCATTGCGCGAAGTAATCATACATGATAGCGAAAACAAGAGTCTTCCCCCCTCGACGGGCTGTGGACGCAACATCGACTGTGTAGCGACGATGACTAGGATGATGACGTGGGCGACGGTGAAGAAAAAGGGGGTCGCATGAAGATAAAGAGGTAGACAAACGACGCCCGCGGCACACGGTCCTCAGCCCGGAGTGGGTGGGGTCTTATGTCAGTGAATATTGAAGTTGTATTGTTTGCGGCTGGAAGAGATGCGGAGCCACCGACTAACCGCCAATGGCTCCGGATGACAATTCGACCAGGAGATGTCGCCGAAGTGAGGATATGGCGACGATGTGGTCGTTGCTTCGACCTGAATCGATGCAGACGTTGGAAAATCTTGCGACGATTGGCACAATTGCTCATGTTGTGACTTGTGCCTTTTTTGTTGCCGCGATACCGAGCTCGCATGATTCAATCTCTTGCCGTTGATTTGACTGGCATGCTGTTGCTCCAGCTGTTCCACTGGTTCGAACAAATTCAGACTCGGCATGGAAACTTGCATTTGCTGATAATTCCTGACTGAGATTGGTGACTGTGATGAATGGCTATTTGGCCGTGACTGTATCTGCATTAGTAGCTGGGATTTAGTGTCTTTGGTGGTGTAAACGGGTGAGTACATGGACATGGTCTCGGCATCGATGTCCACAGGAGTCTCGCCTTCGAGCACAGTGGCGACTACCGTAGGTGGTTGTATGCAAGTGGTTGGCAGTGGTGCCGGTACGACTGGCATTGTGGGCGTCGTGGTAGTACTTGGTATCAAGGTGGCTATTCCTGATGACTCTTCGCTGTTGGTACCCGGTAATGGGGATAGTGATGGTAGCATTACGGATATTGGTGCCATCATTGAACTTGACTGCTGTTGTGATGAGCCGCTACTGCTGTTGCTACTACTGCTGCCAGCGATGGTAGAATTGGCCACCAGCGTGGACTCTAGATTCCGCAGCTCCTCCGAATTGACAAAGTCCTCTTCGAGTTTGGTCTAAAAAAGAAAAATATTGACAATACGTAGAGTAAGGATCATAGGCCCCGTAAGAAAAGGTGGCGTTTAAGTGTCTAAAAGAAATCATGCCTTACAGGTTTAGTGGAGCCATGCGGGGCCAGACACCGATAAAGCAAATCAACAGCCTGCAATAACAAAAACAGAAAACAAGTATCAACCGACACCCTCTGCGTTTGTCTTTATGCACGCTAGCTTGTGGTTGTACCCCGACGCTGACTTCACTGGGTCGATCGATCCATGTTTGTCAGCAGAATAACATAATTCTATATTTCTTTTTTTGTTTCTACATTGATTACAAAATATTTCTTACATCAAAGAAAATTAAGATTAATAAAATTTTTCTTTCTATCAAATAGCTAAAATTAAAAAAATGTGCTTATGGTAAATTGAAAATAAGAAATATTGTTATATATGTTTATATATTTTTGAAACAGTTTTGTTTCTTTTATTTATTAAAAATAAATTTTATAATAAAAAGAAATATTTATAAAATATACGTATTTAGATTTTGTTCTTGATAAATATTTAAAAAATTATCTATAAAATATAACATTAAATTAAATTTAAGAACATAGTGATATGAAATATTGGATTTGGTATTTATTTCTGTGAAAGGTACGTAAAAAAATTGCAAAATTCTTCCGATATTATTCGACTTCGGATACTTGCCCGAATTTCTAATTTCTTGAGAATTATTAAAATTCTTAAAACACAATCATTTAAGCTTGACCTGAATAAATTTGAAAAACAAGCTTGAAACAAATTTATCTTTACATTTCCAGAAAATGTATTTCTGCGTTACCTTCTTTGAGCCAGCCTTTCAATATCACTAACACTTATAACAGTATGCAGAAATGAAAGTTTTTTTTAAAGCATAATAAAAAATAAGAATATCATGCATAATATTCCAAACTTATCGAGACATACACAATAATTTCGACAAAAAGTACGAAAGCCATATATTTATTTCCTGTATTTTTCTCAGATGCAAAGTTATGAAAATAATATGTGTACACAAAAGAACAATACTCGTACAATTTTTTATTTCAACTACACACAATCAAACTGAAACTTTCATTTCACCATTGCGCCAGCAATCTTGCTTTCTTGATACAGATTGTTCGCGCAAAAGTCTAATCATAATAGTAACAATAGCGTGGCAAATGAAGAAGATTCACACTGAGGATAGTACAGAAACAGGAGAATCAGGAAGAAGGAGAGAAAGGAAGTATGTATGTATGTATGTACGTATGTGTATATATATATATAATCGATTTTCCTTGATACATGTTTGATTTGATTCAAAAATAGCTTAATCCGGATTTTAAATGTGGTATTGTATGTTTTTTAGTCGCTGAACACGATGCAATAATTCATTTAACCTCACGATATATACGCCTTAAGAAATATAGCCGAGTTCAAGGTCGATTTTAGCAAGGTTCTAAATGTTCAAATGGATCGTTACTCCTCTCAAATTGTAGGTTTATTCACTCAGAACAAGATTCACTTGGAATTTTCCCGGGACTTTCTACAGGGCCTTTTTTCTATCCTTAAAAACGTTTCATAATCCAATTAAATGCAACTTTTAAAGGCCCTGTAGGAGGTCCCGGGAAAATTCCAACCGGATCTTGTTCTGGATGAACAGACCTACAATTTGAGGAGAGTAACGACTCATTTGAACGCTTAGAACCTTACTAAAATCGATCTTGAACTCGAAATTTGGTTATTTTTTCACATTAATCGGGCTATATTTCTTAAGACATATATCGTAGGGTTAAATGAATTATTGCATCTTGTTCAGCGACCAAAAAAACATTCGGTACCATATCCAAATTAAGCTATTAAAATCCGGATTAAGCTATTTTTGAATCAAATCAAACATGTATTAAGGAAAATCGAAACTTTGATTTAAATATCGTTCACTAGCGACCTCTAAATCTTATTTTTTGATAAAAATTTAGAGGTGTTCTTTTGGCATGGAGGCTTTTGAACTGAGGCCGATTAAAAAAAATATTTTCTTTTTTCCTAACAATACAAAATTACGAATACAAAAAAGCAGTGATTTGCTTACCTTTGGCAGTGGATACGTGTCCGGTAACGATAGTACAGGCGGTGAGCTCGGCGTTTCCGAGTCGGCAATAGATACTGGAGTGTTGGGAGCAAGAGGATTATTCAGGTTGGATACGGCGGTGGCGGCGGCGGCGGCGGTAACGGCCGAGGATACAGTGACGGTTCCAGAGACCGTCACCTTCGTTGTCTGCCGGCTACCGCCGCTATTCGGCTGCTCCTTCGCGGCACGATGTTCCGCGAGGAGCTTGTCGAAGGTCTTGCTGCGACCGACGACCGTTCGGCGCAGCGAGACAGTGTGCGCTTTGCATGTGAGCGACCTGGTGCAGGGCTTGCCGGTCTCCTCGTTCAACACACCGCAGTGCCGATCGGGATCGTACTCGCGGTCTTTGAGTAACGAGCGATCCGTTTTGAGCCTCTTCCGACGAGGCTGGTTGGTGCCACTGTTACTGCTGGGACCAGGGCTTTTACTCGGACTCCCTCCGCTGCTTGTAGATGCACTGATAATATTCGAAGAACCGGCTATGTTAGGAGAGGTAGTTTGTACCGTGATCGATTCAAGAGGCGATCGGGGTGACGAGGAGATCGGCAGAGAGCCACCTACAGACAAGTTCGCCTGATCCGCAGTACGCTTAACGGTCGTGTGGTTCAGCTTCGCGCTACCAACAATAGGAATTGAAGCAGAAACTGAAGGAACTGATGGTTGAGTGTTTCTCTTCAGCTTGGAGACCTTGCAGAAGGGAGTTTTTATGGACGGTTTTGTGACTGGGGTCGTAGGTGGCGGAAAATTTGCCATGCCGGAATGGCGACACTCTGTGGCAAAATAGAAGATGTGTTTACATGTTTAGTACCTGCAATACACGTATACAAGATGCTAATGAGTTGCAAATATTTTGACAATTTAACTGAATCTCAGCTGCGAATGGAATCATTGTGTACATACATTTTTTATAATATATAATAAAAATATTTCTTTAAATTAAAATTCAATAACTTTGATTTAAATATATTAAATAAAATTTTCAAATATATAAATTGATAAGCCATTGCTCACTTTAAACGCACACAAAAATTTTGCGTTTTGAATTATATAAATACTCAAAATATAATTTTGGATTATAATTAACTAAATAATAAAATCAGAATTCAACTTGCTTTATGTTTAGCCCTGCATTTAATAAATAATTAAAGTTTCTGATTATATCACGCCTCATTGTTATTATTATTATTAATAGAGCTACATTTCTGTTTATACTAATAGATTATGTTAAACATAAAGCAATTTGATTATACTTTGTTACACTATACTATAATAATTAATAATGTAAGAATATATACCTATATGTTGAATGAGAGCTTGCGGTTTCACTATGGCATCGCATATTTCACATACTACTCCATAGAAATCATCCCTCTCTGGACAAAAGCCATACAAATCGATATCTGAAAAATGTTTCACTAAATTAATGTTACGGTAAACATGTGTGAGAGAGAGAGAGAGAGAGAGAAAGAAAGAAGTAACAATCTATATATAATTGTATATATTTATTGTATATATTATTATTTTAATATATATTGAAAAAAATTAGTAATTACCATCTGAAGAAAGACGTGTGACTGAGTTTGATGGTTGGACTTCTGTTTCTTCATCGCCTGAAACACGGAACATACGTTCATAACAGTATTATATATCAACCAATATTTATTTCAGAAAAAACAATGATTTTTATTTTATATATTATTTAATAAAACATGAAATATTTTATATATAGTATTATTTATTAATAAATCATGAATATATCCATAGGAGGTTTATGCTTGGTAATGCTCTACGTGTCCAAAATATTATTTAAATTAAAAAGTTTATCCTACAGCTACACTCAAAAACATTAATAGAGTATTATTTATATGAAAGATTCATTATTCATCTACACTCATATATTATTAAAAGAGTAAAAGATTCTCTACATAATTAATAAAAATATTCAAAATTTCCTCAGCAAGTATTATATTGAGCTTTTAAATGTAAATATGAAATAAAGAACACAGAACTTTATAGACAAGTCAACTTTATTCTTTTTATTTACATCTAGCATACATGCATAATAACAGCTGTAGTACAAAATTCAAGAGGATGAAATCTACAGAAGGAAAATATATGTCGCGTGATTAACGCTTTCTCTTTCTTTCAATAACAATGTATCTCAGAAATACCATCAATCGATTAATAAACGATCTGCCGATCGTTCAATTTTCGGCAAATGATCGACAGCGTACGCTCGCTCGAATTACATAATTGTCAGTGAGTCCTGAAAATCATAGGCAAAACTTGATGGCGACGGGGGCGCACGGGGAGCACGCGAGAAAATTCGCAGCGTGTTATCGTACCCCCGTGCCGTTGATAGATGATACATAACACACAACACCCCCTTCGACATAGCCCCCTGCGATGAGGTGAGGCGAGGCGCGCGGGCGCGCGCGCGCGCGCGCGTGTCGCGCTACCGGACAAAGGAGCGTCGAAGTGAGGTTAGGTACGCGCGCCTCCGACGCCCGTCGCCGTCGCGGCTGCGGCCAGGCTGTCACTTCCCGACATTGCCAATGGCGCTCGCGTTCCGAGTGAAACACGGCGCGGTCCTCGCGTGTATATAGCGTGGCGAAGCGAGAATGTTTTTCGGGGCCGGGCCGCGTGGACTGTCAGGTGCGGCGCGATACTATACTCCACGCTATATCTACTCTCCCTCGCCCCCGCGATCTCCGTCGCTCCCGTCGCCGTCGCGCCCGTCGCGTCCGCGTGTGTGTCGCGCCACGGCCAGACGCATTTGCCTCCTCCTCCACCACCACCACTCTGGCAACTCTGGCTCGCTCTTTTCCACCAGCCACAGTTCCTCTCTCGACTCTCTCCCCTCTCCCCTCTTCCCTCTCCCCACCCGACCACAAACCGATTCCACTAATTGTCCAAGTACGCGTAGCACGCGCGCGACCAAGTGTCCCCTTCAAACGTATATCTCGACCAACATATCGCGTCTAACGCCGTTTCGCGACGCGTCGTCGTGCGACCAAGATGCTCGCTCCGTCGTCCAGGTCGTCCTCGCCAGTCCTCGCGTTTCCACCGTTCCGCGTGGCTGCCTTCTCGAATCTCGCGTACCCATCGAGTGCACGCACACACTCTCGCGTACCGCACGCGCGCGGCTCACTACGAAGCACTACGAAGTACGAATACTGCGACGGGCGACCAACACTGCGGATCTGCGAGACGGCATTGGCCGACGGTACCCTGACGTCACGAGCCTTCGTGAGCACGACAACGTGCGCAGAACGACCAGCCAATCGCGACGAGTCGAGTCGCGTACGACGTAAACGACGTTGCGCCGACTGTTCTTCGCGGCAGGTGGATCGTGGATCGTGTCGCGCGTTGCTTCGGTGTCATTCACGTACATGACTTCATTGATAAATTTCTGTTGAATGCAAACCGCGCGTTGTTGAAAACTTTCTTTATAAAACGACTAATAATGCTGTAAATCATATAGGCATTTGTTAATATTTTCAATTGGATTAAACAAGATATTGACAATTTTAATTATAAGTCTTTTCCTTACGAAAAGTCATTATAGTGATTCATAGCGCGCTGTGTATAGAGACTATAGAGAATGATTATGATTCAGCAGAAATTTTGGCTGCAAAAAGATTACAGCATAACGTAAAGATATCACAATGACGCAATCGTTGAATAGTTAAATAATATTATTTCGATTTTTCTGCAGTAACGTTTTGAAATAAAAGTTTACAATCGTTTTTTTGGAAGTACTAACATTTATTTTGTGGTTGAACTTTCACATAATATCGTCTTTTCTGTCTTTTCATATAAAAATTTGATCACTAATTCTATTACGAAGGCAAGTCATGCGAATTCGCACAATCACATGACATTTGTTTCGATCGCCTCCGAATCCTCTATCCTCGAGAAACCGGATCGATGTAATAATCTTGATTGACGACTCTTCGAAACATGAAATCGCATATTTTTCCAAAGAGACGGTTTTGACTAGGAATAACCGCTGTCGTCAACGGCCATAAATATGTATCGACGATTGAGTCCTTAATCTATTATTAGAAACAAATGCTTAAATTTACAGTCTTGTTGGTTGTTCGATTTGCAATATTCATTCGATGTCTTAACCCGCGAAAAACGATCTTGAATTCGGTTGCGTTTGGGCTGGCCGGGCGGTGTTGTTCACGTCGCCACGATGAGCTTGAATCGCCTGCCAGTTAATGTACCAAAAGGGTTGCTTGTCTCTCGGCCAGGTCTTGATCCTATTTACCAAGTCAATGTCGCCGTGAGCATCGACTGGTAAATCAGCTGGATTTATGGTCGTGCTCAGGGGCGGTGCAGCTGCAGCTGCAAAGCCGCTGTCTCCATCACCTATTCGATTTCCAAGCAACGTGCTATCGGTACCAGTTTGAGTTCCTTGGTACGTTGGAATTCCTTGAGCTCCTTGGTACGTTGGAATTCCTTGAGCTCCTTGGTACGTTGGAATTCCTTGAGCTCCTTGGTACGTTGGAATTCCTTGAGTTCCTTTGTACGTTGGAATTCCTTGAGATCCTTGACGTACTGGAATTTCTTGAACCCCTTGGCCTACTGGAATTCCTTGAGCTCCTTGGCCTACTGGAATTCCTTGAGTCTCTTGACCCACTGGAGTTCCTTGAGCCCCTTGGCCCAATGGGATTCCCTGAGTTCCTTGGCCCACTGGAATTCCTTGTGTTCCTTGACCCGCTGGGATTCCTTGAACCCCTTGGCCCACTGGGATTCCTTGAACCCCTTGGCCCACTGGGACTCCTTGAACCCCTTGACCCACTGGAATTCCTTGAGTTCCTTGACCCGCTGGGATTATTTGGTCTCCTTGAGCTGCTTGACCTGCTTGAGCTGCTTGCTCCGCCGCCATTCGCTCATCAATATATTGAGGTAGAACCTGGGGCAGACGATTACCGGTACCAGCATGCCATGGTCGTTGCGACTGCACCATGTAGAACACAGTAGCGAAGAGTATAATATATTTCAACTGTAATAGAGAATAATTTCAATTTAAATGGATAAAGATATGTTATAAAAAAATGCTAAGAATTTCGTTTCTCTACCATTTAACAAATTTAAGTTACTTGAGAAGATTATACATTATCATTAGCTAACATTGATATCGAAATAAAATTCATCATAAAATGGAGATTTGTATAAATTAATCAATACAAATATTACAGGCTGAAGTAAATATATAAATTGTCAAATATATAATCTCTCTTCCCCCCCCCCAAATTAGTATTAATATTGGTATCTAATAAATGCAGCTTATATAATACAAGAGTATTAATTAAGTGGATTAAGGAACAATCAGATCTATTTACCATGATTATCGAATATATCAAGGCGTTTACTGAACTCAATAAATACACGAGGATTTCACCAACGGTATCCAATGGGACCGGGAGATTTAACGATCGTGCGATTCACCGTTCGAAACTCAAGTGTTAATGTAGCAAGCATTCCTTCTATATAAATCGTTCGGCTTCACTGTGATCCCCACTACGAAGTCGACGAGTCATGCGTCTGTGGGAAACTTGACTGCAACTTCCCCCAGTTGTCGAGTTTGCGATATCTTGGTGGACGCAAAAATCTTCCCGAAGTGATGTATACAAATCGCTGTTAGATAAGAAAGTATTTCCCGAAGGCGCATCCGCGAATCAAGTTTCGCAAAGAAAATATACTTGTAATTTATCACGACGATAAAGCTATGTTGTCAGTCACCCTTTTAATTTCGGTTCATTCATGTCGTAAATTCCAGTGAATCCCCTATATAAATTCAAATTTGTATAATACTTAAATATTTGTGGAATGTCTGAATGCAGAAAAAATATGTGGAATTTTTATATTATTAATTGATACGTATAATTAAACTTATAAATTATTTTTAATGTGTTATAATTAAGTAAAGATATTAATTAATATTTTTCAATTATATCCTTTTTTCTGATATTAATAAAAATTATATTATTAATATTTAAATATTATATATATAACTTTTAATTTATGATAAATAAAGATAAATTGGGTTTATATAATAAAAGGAATCCTACATTATTATACGTCAAAATTATATACTTTTATTCGTTAATAGTGAAAACCACTCGTATACAGAAAATGGCAAACGTACGTGTTTGACAGTTCAAAAGTTTAACGACGATGTTACGATGTTATTCTTCTAATAGTTAATTGATCAATAATAACTGAGAGCGAATAACGGGTAGATTAATTTCTTAGGTATGTATTCGAAAGATTATGACAATCTTGGAGTGACTATATCTAGTTTTCTGAATAGCGAACCGTGAAATTGCAATGTCAGCAATGACAATGAATTTCATACTTTTCCAGCTTCGCCAGCACATTACATTTACGCCCATATTTATCGTGGCTTTTGCGGTTTTAACAAGATGTTGAGGCATTTAACTAAGCCGATAAATCCACGCTGTCGTCATCACGAATCCGCAGATATTGTTCGTAAGAAAAGAGATACGAGTTGTTTATTCATGAATTCCCTATGGAAACAGCGATAGGAAGCAAAAATGACTTCGATGCGATTATTCACGAAAAATAATCATTAAAAAATTATATCTCAAACGGTGCCGTAATCTTACGAAGACCTTTGGAAATCATTGATTTTTGTAATGCATATTTTTAGTATTCCTGATGAAACACGCTGTCATTTCTCGTTAATGTTTGAAAGATAAACAACATAAGAAAGCAAGAACAGATTGCAAAAATTATTGCATCGGTCGATAGTTCATGGCAATGTAATCTTTATCGTGCGCGTAATGAAAAAAAGTATGGAAGATAAAAATTATCTTATTATTTATGGCGTATCCGCTAAATTTTCATACGTAGCTTTTAACTGAAGATTCTCAATTATCACGACAAAATGGGAGTGATCTTAAAAAATGGTACAAAAATTTCAAGAATTATATATTTCACAAGTTTTTCATTATAGATCATACATTATAGACTTGTAGTTTGATAAATATATTATTTTTCCAACATTATCTGCAACGTTATCTACATAAATATATCTTAGGTTCTGCAATTAAGTTCGTTTTATAATTTCTATCGATAATTCGCGTGAGCGACAGTAATTACGCAAATAATTAATGACCCTCAACTGGACTGGAAAGATGGAAAATTAGTACATTTTCCTCTAAAGATTTTCTTAGAACTCATTTTTCCGTGGTATTTCTTTTATTTTTAGATTTTTATCTGCGTTTGGATTTCATGGTCAAAATGTGATTTCTTTATTTGGTCTAAGAAACGAGGAAATTTTGTTTCTTTCGTTCTGTGACGATGAAATGTACCTTCTTATTGGTAAAAGACTCATCATTTACATCAAATAATTGGTTCAGTCAGAATTCCGGTTTTGCCGTTAAAGTATCGACGGAATTACCAGATCAGTAATTTTCCCTACTCTGCACAGGATGTGTCTTGATAAATATTTTAAATACTGTAGGCACAAGAAATTTTTAATTGCAATAATTAACAATCATATTACAGAAAATTAAATAAAATTTTTAATGTATTATCGAGACATGATAGTATCTTATTGTAATATACTATTAAATACATGTACGTATAATAGAAAAATATTTACATATAAATAATAGAAAATACAATAGAAAATTGACTTGTAATTAAGTATTTGAGTAATTGAGGAAGAAAATGTATCGTCAGTCATACTTTGAATCATTTTAAATGTCAATGAGATTTTCTCCGAAGTGATTAGACGAGGTATACGGTGCCTCTTTATGAATTATACTGTCTTCGTGCTTGTGCATTTAATCGAAAGCGCTTTTACGATTTTCTGTTCTCGCAAATCGCAGTCACGCAAAACAGAAATACAGCCGAAGCAAAATATTTACGGCCGTTTCTTTTCGCCTGGCCGTGACGGAATCAGATTGTGGGGATTAAAGGCCGCTGCTGCTACTGCGGGCTTATGGAAACGGTGCCGAACCGGGTTTTTCCCAACCAGCTTTGAACCATCAAGTGTGATAAATTTCACCGTGAATGGTTAATGGAAAGTCATTGTCTCCGTTAAAAATGATAAAGCAAAATCTAATTTGCAGCGCAATTTTCATAAACATTATCGTTGGAATTGGTAAAACTGTGTAAATGGTAAAACTGCCCGATGAAAGAATTGATGTGAGTTTTTAAAATCATCTTCTGTGATAAATATAAATTTATGGAAAGAATGGATTTATTTGCATTTAAGTATATAACAATTATTAATAGGGAGTTTTTACAGTACCATTTATCCAGATACAGTGAATGCTAAGATCACGTTATCTTCTTCTTAACAACTAATTAAGAAAAGGATAACGTGACTTTAGCGTTCACCGTATCTGAATCCATGTTATTGCAAAAACTCTCTAATAATATAATAAATCCATATCGATGTGGAGGTAAGTCAATCTCGGCTCGTCTAAAAACTTGCCATGTATGTTTATAAATAAGCAGCTGCCGCATTAAGTTCGGAATCGCCTACGTCAATAGAATAACTATGCGTCAGATACAGAATTACTTGCCTGCGTGATGAAAAACGATGATCTTTAATACGTAAATCAATATAAAATAAACGAGAATAACATTATATTCTCATTATATAACGTTACATTCTCGCGTTTATTCACAATGGACACTAGAAATTTTAATACGCTTGTAGACTAATAATATTTACTATGAATAATATATATACAATATATGTATATATTTGTACATATATATATGTATATTGGATTTACAAGTTGGTAAAAAGACCTTTCCCCATCAATATCTTCGTTAAAAATGATAAAAATTTAGATTTAAGAAAAGGGTTTTAAAGCTTGAAATCTTTACTTTCGAATGATTACTATATTTTTTGAATTTGTGAGTGTTTTGTAATTTTTACATATAGGGAAACTACGAGCTGAAAAAAATGAAAAATTTTCTTTTCACTTTATAGGTCAGTAGTGTGCCCCCTAAAAATTTGAGCAAATTTTCGATTATCTATCTGAAAGCTATTATCTGAAAGCTTGAAGCTTTCCCTAATTTGAAGCGTTCCCTACAAAATCGTTTTTTAAAAATGTTCCTACGATTTTTTGTTCCTGATCCTGATAACAAAACCTGCAGAGATAGATTTTAAGCAGAGCCTAATACCGATTTTTGATTGCAGAAAGGCAAAAAATTGTACTATCAGCAAACTGCTGCCAAAAATATAACAAAGCCTGCTGACATGCTATGCCAACAAATTGGTGACAGAAACCGAACAGAGCATGCTGACATAACTTGACGGCAAATTAGCAGCAAAAACCGAGTAAGATCTGTCATTTTCATATACGCGGCATCGCCATGAGATAGACTTGCTTCCCGTAAGAAGAAATCGCCCAGGAGTCCTAAGAATTGGCGTATGTAAATCGTATAGGCAAATTTCTTACAGATTCCAAACCTCTTTTGGGATGTGTTTTCTGAATCTCTTTTTTTTACTATTTTATAACTTTTTCATGTGTTTTTGAAATATAAAGCTAATCAATAATATTTTAGCAATAAAACTATATTGATTGTTTCCAGTTTTCACATCAGTATATATATTTATATAATTATATATAATTATATATAACCGTTTATATACATGTACGCAAAACTTCTTATAAGAAACCAGGTCGATTTAAATGAAAATGACAGATCTTGCTCGGTTTTTGCTGCCAATCTGCCGTCAGGTTATGTCAGCAGACTCTGCTCGGTTTTTGTCAGTAATCTGCTGGTAAAACATGTCAGCAGGCTTTGTCGACAAATCCATAGCCAAATGCGGACACAGATGGCTATGGTTTTGTAATCAAAATCTGATCGAGTTTGCTGCCAATTTGCGTGCAAATTGCTAATATTTTGCTATCAGGGGAATGATTCGCGGATTAAATAAAAAGAAACATTCTCTTCTCTCTCTCTCTTCTCTTCTCTTGACTTTATTGCTCGTAATTCCGTTAAAAATTATCGTATCGCAATTAAAAATTATACAGATTCTTGAAGTTGAAACGTTGCTCTATCAAGTGATGTAATTGTTAATTTTTTAAAAATAGAATATATTCATTTATTTCGATACAACATCCCAAAGTCGGAACCGGCCCTACCTCTCGTACGTATATGCTCGTGGTGCGCACGAAAGTTGTACACAGACATACGGGATCTATAATTTGACGCCGGTTCCGAACGGCAATTTTGAGAAGTTTTCTTTGGCAATAGATATATATTTGGTGGTTTGTCAGATCGCCGAAGAGGAGCTCGTGAGCGCGTGAAAATTTCTTGGATCTGCCGGATCGAACTCAAGTCCCCTGGCATGATAGATTCACGCGCTGTCTACCATGCTACGCTTGTGCTCCGATAAAATAGAATATATGGGTTACTAAAAAAGTTTTTTTACCGACTTATAAAGGGACTTTTTCCCTAATCCAATATACATTTATATTTATGCAACCCTTTATATCATTTAAGAAATTCGATCGTTAATACCGTTATCATTAAACTTTATTTATATATACAAATAAATTTACATAATACATATTATGAGAATAGATTATATATAATTATAGATCTTTGTTATAATCGAATATTAGTGATACAGATTAGTCAAATAATGCACTTAATAGTGAAACAATAATTATATTAAAAAATCTTAGATAATAAATCATTGTTTATTCGTTATCGTATTATTATGATGAAATAAAACTTGAATTACGAAGATTTTATTATAAAAATATAGTAATTGCTCGTGATATGTATTTTTCTTTTGTTACCGAACAAAAATTACGGCGCAGAATCATTGATAAGGAAATGTGTTGGAAACCAGTTTCAGCATAATATATGTCTTTAGCGAAGTATGTCTTTAGCTAATCTATCCAATAATGTATATTCATTCATTTTTATTTTAAGATTGAATTTATTTATAAGAATATATGTAAGGCATATATGTAAACGTATGTAGTTATGATTTCTATAACTCTATGCAATTATAATTTCTAATATTATAACAGATTTGTGTGTGTGTGAGTGTTTGTGTGTGTATGTGTATGTGTGTTTGTGAGTATAGAGTATTGTTTTCATTCAATTGAACATTTTTCTATTTCAGAAAGATTTCTTAAATCATTATATAATATTTCAAATATATTTCGAGATTCTTGTGATGTACAACTATTTTTTAAAAGATTATAACTATTTCGAGAGACTTGATAGAATAGACACGCTATTCTTAAATCGATAAATTTACAGAAATAGGCAGGAAAGTGTGTTATAAATGTAACAGTTCGATTTCCTGGTACCAGGATGGTACGAAACTAATCGTGATAATGTTACATAAGAGTCATTATTCCAGAGTCATATTTATTTATTCTAATCTCTAATCAAGTCTCTTTAAATCTTAAATAATCTTTTATTTCGAATCTATAATAAATAATTTATAAGTACCGTATTAATTTGAACAGTTATATTTAACTTATATAATGTCATCATTGATTTATGATTTATTATTATATATTTAAATCATTAAATCAACTAAAGTAATTAAAGTAATTAAAGATGTGTTATACATATTTCAAAAAAATTATGAAAAAGTTTTACAGATTGCATTTAAAAGTAAGATGAAATATTTATTAACTGCGATTTACCATTTAGATCAAAGGTTATTACAATAAGAAGCAGGATTTTTTTATTTGTGTTCTAATAGAAATGTATCGATCGAAATTATAAAATAATGACAAAAAACTTAATTTTTTTTATATAAATACTTTGAGAATTCTAGATGATTTGTGTAAAATTTACATTCCAATGTAAAAATCAGTTATCCTGTAAATAAACAGAATATTTATTTGTTCTATATCTTTGTAACTAATCTGAATCGTAATAATACTTAGAATAAGTCGCATTTTGAATACTTCAAGTACTATTATTATGTACAAAAACATTTAGATTTTTGTTATTATCTTTCAAATTTTAATTTATATTAATAAAGATAATAAATGAAATATATAAACTATAATTAAAAAATGTGTTGTCCAATAAAAATAGAATGTTATAAACAACTTTCATATGTACATATACGTATAGTTCGTTAAAAAATACTAATATAGGTGCTATATATAGCTTTCATACTTTTTTAATCTAATTAGTTCAGTATCTTATATACATAATGTATGCTATTTTACATATGAATATACATATATACCATATATGTACATATTTGTATATACATACATACTATATGTACTCTCCCTCTTACAAAATGGACGCTAAGGTAACATAATTACCGACTGAGAAAAAATACTTCTAATTGCAAAGTTAACTACTAGATGGCCATATCAGTTCTATTTGTTATAATATAATTATTGATATAAAAAATCATTACAATATTATTGCAATTTTGAATCATATCTTGCCATTTAGAAATATACACACTCATATAAATTAATTATAAGTACTTATAGCAATACAAATAATTTAAAATAAAATATTAAATTTATCGCAATAATTTAATTTAAATTATGTTTGATTTATAATACTCAATAATTGTATAATATAAAATAAGTAAAGTATATAAAATAAATAAATCACAAATTTATTAAAAAATACTTTTATTTTAGCGGACATTACGCTAAAGAGTTTAAATAACATGCATATGTATAAGCTAACTTATTTGTTTGTACATATTGTCACATTTTATCAGTCATCTTACCTACTTTAATATTGCAATTTGTCTTATCCACGTGTTAATGGCAAAATTATGTCACTTGATCTGCTGCCATGCTTGAGTATTAGCCAAGATCATTCCACAAGTTACATTTTTTTTTCAATTTTGTAATAGCGCTTTTCGTAAATTTACGATGCTCGCACGGACGTATCTGTCGGCTTGATATCATAGCGTTCTTGCAAATAATATGTTGAGATACACTTTTAATTCAAGAACTTGCGAAGAAAGAGATGCGTTGCATTCAGAACTATGGTATGTTAGCGCACAGGATTGCTATATCAACGTTTGCTTTTGCTAAATCGCCCATAGACCGCGCATGTCGAGCGTACTTCGTCGCTTATGAAATTATTACAATGACCTTGGGTCAATAAACGCACTCCGTTGTATCGGCTGTTCAAATAATATTTTATACCTCAATTATGACGCGACCACACGGATCGAGTCTTACGACATACGTTGTAGGGCACGCGTACTCCATTTCGACAATAAGAGTTTGCGATCTCAATTTTATTAATGTATTGCTTATTCACACACGCATTCTAAATGCTTTTATTCTTTATATAAATGTTATATATACATTATTAGCACAGCGATAAATAATATTTGTGTAGAGCGCTTCATTAAACTTTCTATTGATAATACGGTGACAAATCATTCAACAATAAGACTACAAAAGAAATTAGTTACAAACGAGATGTTATTTCAATAATTTTTAAAATTAGACAAAGAAGAGTTAGTTGAACCGAGATTAAAATTAAACTACTTTGGTAGAAACGGTCATTAATCATTCTATCGTTTCTTATCAATGATCGTATCATCTGATGCGAATGCACGGTACCAATATGTCAGATGTATATTTTAACACTTGCTTGTATTATGTTTTATGTATAATATAATATAAACATGATTTCTTCAGAAAAAAACCGGATTTGTCCACCGACAGTAATAATCGTCGAGATAGATTTTGTTCATAATGCCATTTCTCCTAGGTCAGTTAGGTCTACTCGATTATTCGATTAAGACTCATCACTGCCTATTGTCAGTGTCAGCAATCATCCACGAAGGGCAAATTAAAATCTAACTCGGGAAAATCTTAGTGCACGATCTTTTCCTCTAATGTATACCTTGTAGTATTTATTATAAGTGTACTTTTTTGTCGAAGCTATACGTGGGAATTGTTTCCTAATTCATGGTATGGAAAGACAGATACAATTTGTGGTAAGAAAATTTTTCTAACACTTTTTATTTTTTCTTTCGATATTATAGCGAGGCTAACAAGAAAAATTACTTCGAATAACTAATAGTAAGAAGTTGATTCTCTTGCTTATTTTTTGTTAAGTTTATTTTTTGTACACATTATCGTTTTATCTGCAATGCTGTTCGTAAATCCTTCAAGCAATCCAGATAGATCCTTGCAGTAGACGAAGACCGCGCACTTCAGGCGGAGATGCGTGCGCTAACAAGTCAAAGCGACTTTTTAGAAGTAACCACCAGCAGGATTTGCTTTATATGGCTCTGGAATAGACTATTTAGTGTGTGTGTGTGTGTGTGTGTAAAACTTTTAGTGTGTGTAAAACTGTTTTCGTAGTGCAAGATGAACATAAAATTTCAAACGCGTTTTTCTCAAAACGCATACTATGGTTTTCAAAACGCATAACCACTATATCTTGAAAACGGTTCGACTAATCGATTTGCAATTTTATATACTTTTTCTAGACACTAAAAACTATTTCTTAACGTAAAATTTTTGTTAGAATATTTCGTTTTTTTTTCTAGTCAAAACTAAGCCAAAAATAAGATTTTTTATGAAGAATTGTTGACATTAATCAGCTGCCATTTTGTTTAAACTCAATATTTCAAAAAACGGTTACATAAAAAGTAGATCTGTAGATGTATATAGTGTTTCCTGCTTATACAAATTAAAGTAGCATATATATATATATATATAAACATTTTTCTTATGTTTAAACATAAGTATGCACTCGAAAGTAGATGTGTTTATTCAATTACGTTGACAAATAGCTAAATCTGCAAAGTAACCTTTTCGTTATTTATTTCTTATTTGCTGTTGAGCCATTGCTCGATCTTTAATATGTTATTCTTACGCAGACGCTTTATTTTCCCGTGACAAACAGAGAACGGGTTTGGATAAATTGGAGCTCGCTAATCGTAAGAAGAGGTCAGTAGTGCAGTTTAGCCGCTCGTATAAGAGCAGCTCGAACATCAGTAACTCCATTAAAGTAGATCAACGTTGCACGGTGTCACCATGAACGTGGTAGTGATACCGTTCTTTTTAGGTGAGAATTCGAAATTATCGTGACACCGCGTAGCGAGTCAGGACTGATTCAACTCGAACCGCGTCTATCGATTCCAATACTTTGTGATTGAATTTCATTTTGCCGAAGGCCGTCGTATTGTAAGTACTGGTAGCCAGAATGATATGCGTCCAAATCGACACGTCGCGAATCGAACGTTCAATCGCGTTACTGAACTGCTCGTCAGAAATACGAAAAACGCTAGGTAATCGAGATATTTAACCGTAGACATCGGCCTGCTTGACGTCACTGCATTAATCTAGGTTCATTCAGGCTTAACCGGCCCATTCAAGCTGACGGTCGAATAATACGTCGCCTGATCAGCTGTCATAACTTGCCTAGTGCGCGCAATGATGTAATGACCTTTTTTCCTCAGCCGCGCATCTCACCGTGGACGAGCCATGGGAACATGGGCCGGAATACACGTTCCAAGTCCAGGTGAACTGCACGGCGATCCCAGAGGAAGGTATATATGGCAGTGTAAGGCTAAACTTGGTATCAAAGTTGATCTGCCAACCGAAGGGCAGTCACATGTTGAGCTGTCACTTCGAGGACTCCAAGGCAAACAGTTTCGTTGTGGATAGTCTGGACCCGTCGGAATCAGTAGTACCAGCCGGTCTGGTAAACCGGCAGCCGGCTTACGAGATCAACGAGGATCAGTTCGAGATCAAGTTCAACAAGCGGGGGCTGGATAGTCTAGTGGTGAATGAAAACATTCAACCGCGCGAGCTTGACATGATCCGTATGATTGTGGGCCAGCTAAGCGTAGGTGCCGTCCTCGATGGCGTTGGAAACGACATTATCTTTGACGCAATGGAGAATTTTACCCAAGGCGAGTGTTACACGACCTTCAAGATTGATAAGAAACTTGTGGGACGTCCGTTGTACGCGAAACTCAGCTACGCGCTCAGGCCGGTCTTCGGCCTGAAAGATGGCAAACTGGTGCAGATACGAAAGATCCGGAATCTGCATATGTGCGCGCACAAAGTGCCATATTACTTCGGCAACGCTGAAAGCTTCAGAGAAGAGAGCGATATTATGTCTGACATTGTAAGCACATTTTTATCACTTAAGTACATTTATTTTTTACATTGATTACTTGTAAATTCCTCCGTAATTAATTAATTACATGAATATTACCGTGCGATTGTTAATTTTGACAGATATATTTACATGACGAATATATAATATACATTAATAAATTACTTAGTACTTTTTAAATCGATTCCAACTTAATATAAATTTGAATTCAATCTTAATTTAATTAAAACAATATACAAAGTAATGTTTAATACAGTATTACACTCTTGATTGTTGCGTTAATTGAATTTATTCTCTTTTTTTCTTACTGTAGAGTTTGTCGGATGGTCACATCATAATAACATCAACAGAATTCATATCAGGTACCTCGAACGTGATAACAACGAGCAAAATAACTGAGACCGTGATAACAACCCTTTACGAGAACGTAAGGCTTAGGCTCGAATCGATTCAAGCTGCGAAAAGCGAACCGCCAGCTGTAAAAGAAGCTGAGCCCGCTAGTGTCTTCATAGGCAGGTGGTTAATCGACGATTCGTCTGAGGAAGATAATTAAATGATTTTGATGTTACGTTTGGTGGTGTATGAACAGACGTTTGATATGAAAGGCGAAATTAAGAAATTCACTTGTCGCAAAGTGACTTATATTAATTTGATTGATTCATCCTTCTATTATGTAAATTTCAGACGGTTACGGAATTGTGCAACACATTGCATTTTCATAAGCATATTGCAAATATTACGTTGTGAGTGTGAATGACATTTGGAATAACTATAAATTAAATTATATAATGATAATTAATACGACGACAATCGTAGTTAGAAGTATTGAATTTTCATATATGAGAACGAAGCTTTATTTACTTGTATGATATTGTAAGAACGGCAAGAAATAAAAGTTAAACTTATATTGATGATCTTTGTACTTTATCAAAATTTGCTCTTAATCAATCCAATTCATCAATTTTTAATTACGAAAATTTGTATTGTTAAATGTCATTTATATCATTTGCAAATCCAATTGTTTAACGTCTAAAGATTCCTTGTAAAATTTATGAAACGATCACATTGTCTTTTGCCGTTTTGAATTTATTCGCATTGGCTTACTTTATTTTCTATCTCACTTTGAATTTTATAGAGTTAATTGAATAAAATTTTGGATATCGTATATTTATTCTTATATATAAAGAATAATCATATATGTATGTATATTTAATAGAAAATTAAAAATATTTTTTATAATGCATTATATTGTAATTGTAATTGTTATTGTACATATATCAGAAAAGATTAATAAATATTTTACTTATTTAATTTCCAGTAATAAATAAATTAAATAATTGTATTTATCCAGTAATAAATTAATTGTAACATAATTTTTGATTTTGCTGAAATACAATAACTATCATGTATGATTGGTATTAAAAACTCACATGTTCAGGTCGCTATCTAAATTATTTTTCTCAGCATCCGATGTGTCAAAAAATAGGAGTCATAGTGGAGTTAATAGATGGAGATCTTTTATTGTCGCATCCTATTTTTCACACCAAAAATCTTAACAAGATCATAAAAACATTATTAAACAATGGGTATCCGTTGCAGCTGATTTTTTCACAATCAAACAAAGACTAAAATTTCATTTATGAGACAGACGTGATAGGAATGGCAAGAGAGAGAGAAGAGTAATAATAAAAAATATTTTACTGTACCTTATATTTCCGGCATCTCAGAAAAAATTAAGAATTATTTAAATAACAATAGAATAGTCAGTATGGCATATAGAAGTGTTAATAAATTGAATTGTTTCATAAAGACAGGCTTTCATTAATATTGCATATCAATGTAGTGTACAAAATATGCAAACAATGAGATGCATCATATGTGGGGCAGACACGTAGTACTTTAAAAGCGAGAATTAGCGAACACCAAAATCATATATATTAATAGCAAAAAACAGCAAAGATCAGTAATCACGGAGCATCGTATGGAATACTCGCATGAATTTGACTGGAATAACATTAAAATTTTAGATAAAAAAGAGATATTTTAAATAAAAGACTAATCTCCGAGATGATTCACATTCAGAATAAAAAAATAGCCTAAATTACAGACTGACACCGAATTATTATAAGGCTTATGAGAACTTATTTAGTAGTAAATGAGTTTCCATCTTTTCAATGTTTATTTTATTTAAGTTATTATTTCTCAATAATGCATTGACCTATGATGGTTATTATTAGATGAATCCCAACGTTCGAATATACCTAACATCTCTATTTCTTGCACATTTCGAAGATCATATCTGTACCTAATTATTGTTTGACTTATTATTGTATAATGTAATGTATGGATTAATTGCACCTTACTTTTTAATTATTTGCATAGTGCATCGGGAAGTATAATGACTTCGTTAAAGCAATATATTGACGGACTTCAGATTGTATTGTACAGTGAAAAGGATCTGAAGCGTGGATCGAAACATATGTACATTCAATAGAATAAATCATTTTTCACATGTACATCTAATGGCTGGCTCAACAAGGCATTATATATTTTTCATTTGATTTATGTCATCATTGTATTTATTTTATATAATTTTTAATGTTTTTTTATTAAAAAATTACAAACATATATATTTTTTGTGATTATGCATATATAAAGATATATATACGAACAGTGATTAACAAACGCAGACAAATTTAGCAATTACATCTAAATCTGGCACTTGCAATGCGTGCCATTATTAAAGCAATTCTAACAATAAGTACGAAAGCAACGTTCTTATCACATCCAATACGGAAGATATCTGCATAATTTAAGCGGAAATGGTATTCCGCGAAATTATTTTCAAGGAGATGATTATAAATTAAGACATCAAGATCTTTCCTATAAAGAGGAGATGGATGACAGGCAGAAGCATCAGTCAAAGTGAGAATATCAACTATGTTAGTGACGATTCTGCCATTTTTCCTAGGTATGTTCTAAAAATTTGTTTCTATATTATTAACAGACTTTATATAGTGGAATAATATGTTAAAAATTCAGTAATTCGTATCTCACAATCACATTTTACATTATTTTTATTTATATCGATTTCGATTAGTTGTCAAAACGTTTTCATCTGATAAATAAAAATTAACTTCACTTTTCTCTTTACCAATCGTAATATTATATCTCTATCAATCTATCTAGCTATCTTTTTGTATTATATAGTTGCAAATGTTACTGTCGATCGGCAGTATGAACAAACCAAATGGGCGAGTTACAGTCCAGAATGCACGTATGATGTTCTCGTAAACACATCCCTGGCCAACATTGTTCAGGAAAACGACAATTTCTGCGCTATGATTGTTACCGAGCTCAAGTGTCGACCTAAGGGAGACGACAGTCTCAGCTGCCACTTCCAGAATTCTTTAATCAAACGTCCCGATCCAAAAGACAATAGATGCTCGAACGCGAAGGATTTTGTGCCCACGAGGTACAAATTCGTGGGCGATGAACCCTTCGAAATTAGATTCAATTCAAAAGGTATTGAAAATCTGGTGGTACACAGATCGATTCCTAGATGGAGGCTCGACATGATCAAGAGTATAGTCAGCCAATTGAATGTTGGTTTCGAAATGCAGGAACGTCGCGATAGATTTACAATTATGGAAAATTCGACAGTGGGTCACTGCGAAGTTGACGTTAAGATCATTCGTAAAGATCTGGATTTCCAGGAAAATAACGATGATTCTATTGAGGAGAGTGAGAAATTCGAGATCGGATTCATGCCATCAAGCGCAGAACTCGAGCGTCCTTTAGTTATAGAGAGGCTCCAGGTGGAAAAAAACAGACAGCCGAAAAGATGCCCGCGAAGAACAATATACTTCTTTGGAAATGATGAGGATTATAGTCGCGGTGACAAGCAACTCTATATGGATATGGTACGATAAAGAAATTGTTTAAAGTTATTTAAATTGATAAATGAAAAGATACTCTTAATAATTTTCCAACGAAAACAATTATTAATATACAGGCTGATCCACTTAAATCGAACATCTTGAACATTTCGTTTATTTTTGATGATATAAAAAAATATTTCAAATGAAAGTAGAACGGTTTTGAAGGGGACGTATTTTAGTCACGTTGTTTGTTTTTAGGTGGAGGTTCCAAAAAAATATAAAGATCATCTTCAATTTTATAACGGAAATATGTGATTTTTTTACATAATATGATTCTTCTAATTATTTTGCATATAAAAGTAGATATTAAGATAGAGATATCAATTAAAAAACCAGTAGTTTACGAGATATTTTATGTTTTATGTCAAAATGTGTAAGAATAAGGTGTGAAACGTGATCAAAATACGTTCCTCTCGAAACAGTACCACTTTCATTTGAAACATTTTTTATAGCATTAAAAATAAATGAAATATTCAAGATGATCGATTTAAGTGGACCACCGTATTTAAAACTTGATATAAAGATTTTGAAATAATCTATTTTTTATCATTTTTGAATATTCCAAAAGTTCGATTTCTCGTAATTAAATAATTATATATATATATATATATCACGAAACTTGTTTTGTAACATAACAATTTTCTTAAAATTACTGGCTTGGACAATATTTTAAAATCAAAATCTGTCTTTTCCTTTTTTCAGACCACTTCCACCAGTCATATCACTATTTCGAAAGATAAATTTGTATCCTATACGATATCAGAAGGTGTAATGAAAACAGCAAATAAATCACGAATTATGCGTCCTTATCAAAAGATAAGCCTAAAATTGAAGCGAATAGATCTCGTCGAAACTTCAAAAATTCCACTGCCAGAGATCCAAAATCCAGCCTCGACAAGTCTATTTGCTTTTTCAAATTTGCAAACTGTTTCGGAAGACGAATAATTAGAAATATTTATCGTATTGAAGAAAATCCAGGAAACTGTTTCACAGATCTATGTATGAAAATTAGTTATAAATAATATATATTCTATAATATATTATTAATATTCAGTATTTTGTAATGGAATTTCTGTTTGTAAAATTTAACATTATTTAATTGAAAATACTAAAAATATACGTATGTATATAATCTAAAGTAAAATTATATTATTTTATATAGTATATAAGTCATTAAATGCAATCGTAATAAAGGTTGTTTAAGAATAATGTAGCTTGGAATTGACATTAATTCTTTGAATATCTTCTTGGTAAACGTTCTCGCTATATTGTCGATGATTGTTCTCGCTACAATTCACATCCAGAGTGAACTAATTTGACTTCGTTTAAAGCTCGTGTGTAAAGAGACTTCTGTTTTTAACACAAATCTGACTAAGAAATATTGGCTGCCATAAAATATAATGTACTTTCAACGGATATGGTTACTTGCTCTTCGCCTAACAAAATATATTTGTCGTCACAATAAAATAATGGTATAATATTACGATTATAATTACCAGAATAATCTAATAGTAAAAAGAACGCCTAATTTAATTTAAAGAATAAAATATCTTGGAAATTAGTGTAAAATCTATTTGACACAAAATGTCATAAATAAACGCTTTAGGATGTAATAAAAAATTTCCATTTCCATAGAATTAATTACAGTAATAATATTAACTTCATGAACCAAAAGATTGAAGTTAAAACGCTCTGTATGTTATTATTTATATATTATTATGTAATTATTTATGATCGTATATGTATATGAACGTGCATACGTCATATGCGGTCATAATATACGGCATCCTGGGGTTCACTATAGACGCAAGCGCTGTTGAATATTACGCTGTTAAATTATGAGCACGTTCTGATATAAAGGAGCGTACGAGTGTAAGAGGAGTAGTATCAACGTACGTGTAGAGTGTAGCAAGGCGCATTGTCGCGAGATGTACGCCAGCGTGATTCCGTACTTCCTAGGTCGGTAAGCCATTAACAAGTATAACTACTTGAATCCACGTGCCTACCATTCAATGTTGCATTCGTTTATCCAAACTTTTAAAGAAAAAAAAAACAACATAAAGCAAAATAAAAATAACTTGTCGAGGAAATTGAAATATAATTATATATATCTAGATATTTATCGGCCACTAATTTTCTTAAAAACTCTTAATAATTTGCTTTAGAGCTGTATCTTTTATTAAATATGTATACAAATTTAATTTGAGTCATGCCTATACATCGATTTCTAAATAGTTTAATTGAGAGAAGTTTAAAAAAATGTCTTAAAGTTTGATTCAAATTTTGAAAGCAAAAAAGATCAGATGAAATAGAGGAGAGAGGGAGAGAGAGAGAGAGAGTGAGTGTGTGTATTATATATAATTAGAGTTTTAAAAAGTTGCATTTATAAAAAATATATCTTTTTAGCGATAAATAACAGTTATTAATATTAAATTTAATTAAATTTACTTAGCCGCCTACGTAATTGTCAACGATACGTCAGAATGGACGTTCGGGCCAGAATACTCGTATGATATGAATATCACTTATATAATAAAACCAGACCCCCACGACCATGTCCACAAGATACAATTGATCTCTACAGTAAAATGTCGTCCTAAAACATCAGACACTCTATTCTGCCATTTGTATAATATTACGGAATCGGAATTATTCGAGAATCTGCACAACATGACGCGGGAAGCACAAACGGAACAAATATTTGAGATTAAATTTAACGAGCACGGTGTGGAAGGCCTGGTGATCGAGCCACCGTCTCGCATGGAAGTCGTGAACGTTCTTCGAAAGATTGCCACTCAGTTTAACGTGATTGTCGATCGGCGAAAGATTGGCATGTCGCAATTTATGGCCAGGGAAAACTCGACAATGGGCGATTGCGCGGCCGCGTACAAGATCATGCGTGAAGAACCCGAGATTGACACGATCGAGAAAATAGATACCGATTTTCGGCTCAGAATATTGCCATTGGTCGACGCGAAACCTGGGACGACTCTCTCGATCGAGAAATCTCGGATGGGATGTATTAATCCACCGCGATATGTCGATTTTTCAAGGGGAATCTTAGATATGGTATGTACACGTGCGTATATTTGTGTACATATATATAAAATTTTTGCCTTATACTTTTTTGCAGAGGAGATTTGTCAGCAAAATACAGATCAATTCACACAAATTCGAAACCTTCACTGAATTTGATGGAATAGTAAGATTTCCGACTGAATCCGAAATTGGGACGTTATCCTTTAAAGAAATGATACAGATTAATCTAAACAGCATTGAACCTGCGCCAAATAAACTTCCGACTCTGTCCTATGGCGAACTGATCGATTTAAATACTAACAACGATATACCAAGCAATTTTATAAATTAAAGCGACAGTCTATATATATATATGTGTGTGTATGTATATCTATATAGTGTCTTCGATAATATATATCTTACGTTATAATATACCATATATCTTACATTACATATTGTAGGCAAGCTATACAATTTGCTGGTATTAAATATCTAATTAAATTAAGACTATCAAACTGTAAACAGAATCAAATAAATAGCATCTTGTATATAAAATAAAGTTCTTCTTTTCATGATCCCTTCTTCTAAAGTTCTTCTTTCTCTGATCCCTTAACTCTTTCTATCCACACGTTATCACTTCTTATCTATTATCCTATAGGCAGATAGGCACATAATATTATTTAATATTAAATAATATTCTTGAAATATTAATGGATGGTTATATCCACTCCTAATAATATTACATGATTATCAAAAGTAACATTATTTAGTGTTACTGTAATATTGTACGAACATTATAAAGTATCATAACAACACACATACACACACATACACACACATACACACATTTATTTTAGTTTGTAAAACTGTTACACCGGTTCAATTTAAATATATGTTTAAAGATTGAAAATAATTTTGGCGTGCAGTTGTAGGACTGAATATGTACGTAAAATTACATTAAACGTTATTTAAGCACAAGATGCAACATAGACAGATAAGACATTTTCGTTACTGGATTGTGAATTCAAGCTACAATAATATAAAAATAATTAATATTAATAAATATTTTAATAATTTCAGGGATGTTAAAGGAAATACATCAAGGATATTGATATAAGTGGACATATACAACATCCATAGAATACTCTCGTAACATTAAAAAATTATACGCAAAATATTCTCAAAATATTATAATAATTTATTTTAATTTTTTTAATAATATTTATATAACATTCTAGGACCTAGGAATATTTTGCGCCTATAGGGTAATTCGTTTTAACTTATTACAAAATTCTAGGGAGTATATTTTCTTAAAAAAAGCCAGGCTTTTAATATTTTCAGAGGCAGGTTAATGAATAATTCATCTGAGGAAAGTATATTTGTCACGGATATTTTATGAGAGGATAATATTTCCTGCAACGAATTTTGGATATACTCTCGCATAAAACTTTGAACTTAAGTAAATATAAAATTTTAATTATAACGCACATAATATTAGTCTTATCTGGGAAATATGCAATTGTAGCAAATCTGTTAGAGGTCAAAAGCAAGTGGATTACATTTCCACGAAGTCTTCTAATATAATTGGCGCTGACACGTCGAGTGAATTAAAATGAATTACATAATAAGAATGTCTTTAACGATATAAAGACAGTATAAAAGCGCTTTCAAGATTAAGAGTGGCGTCAAACCACGATTTATGTATACGGTGATATGATCGTTGCAACATTTATACCATTCTTTTTAGGTAAGTCAACTGTTCATAAATTAATGTATCATCATAAATTATATATTTCTTTATAAATTATATTTCTTCTCTTTCGTAAAATTTAACTTTTAGTACACATATGATGATTTTTCGGACCTTTGCTACACGTGATAAATCGTTTGTGTCCCAAGTTCATTTTCATCATTTTTACAAGTATAAAAAAAATTATTAGGTGATTCTTACATATACTTCAGAAAATATTTTATAAAGTTATATATTTAAAAAAAATAGGAAAAGATGAGACCATTTAGTTAGGTGTTTTTAGTTTTTAGAAAAAAAAATAGGATTAGACGTAGGACACGAATGTATCGTGTGTATAAGGGTTAAAAAAGAATTTTTTTATAGTGTACGTCTTTCAATAAATAAATAATAAATGTTACAAATAAAATATAATATAAAGCCGCAATAAACAATAAATAAGTTTAATAATAACCTAACGATAAGAGTGATATTGTTTTATAAATTGCTTATAAAAATTTTAACTTTTTAGCCGTGCAACTTCCTATCGAGGATGGTGCGTGGCCGTATGGACCAGAGTACATCTTCACTGTTCACATGAACGTAACAGGGATACCGCAGTGTTCTCGTCCAGCATGCGGCAATCCGTCCGGTTATCGTATTACCTCTCGGTTGCATTGCATTCCGAGGAAGAATGATACTCTGAGCTGTAGTCTTAGATACGTCGACGGCTTCGATTTTGGTATGATTGATGAGGAAGACAATATCGTGAGCCGACGCAGAAATATCACTGATGCGCCTATCGAGCTATTTTTTGACGACAAAGGCATTGAGAATATCATCACAAGCCAGCTGACGCGGATCTATGACCTCAACATCTTGAAGATGGTGGCCGAGCAACTGCATCCCGGCGACAATTTTAATAATATCAGGGATGGCACATTTGAGGGTGAAACCGCATCCACTATAGGCAGATGCAATGTCACCTTCGATGTATATCGTCATTCTGGGGCTGCAAATCCGAATGAGACACGATTTCGATTAAAATTATTACCGCCGAGATTGCATATGACTTCCACAGAGACTCTTGTCATTAATAAGCAGACGAATCTTAATCATTGCAGCTGCTACGCAGACAGTTATTTTCGCAAATATGGTGATTCGGTTGTCTCTCAACGTTTGCAAGCCGATTTAGTAAGTTATCTACGATAATATTGTGAATAGTTTGCTTACATGCTTTTTACGATCATTTTTAACAAATTAAAGGCATTTGTTCAGAATAACAAGGACTGCAACATATTAAAAATTCAGCCAATTCGACCGAAAGCACTTTTGCATATGTTTTGTGCGGAGTCCTTTGTTTTTAACATTTTATATCAATTTTTGGCTAATACTTCGTGCTCGAAAAGAAGCGTAAGAAATTATTCTTAATTTATACATGTCATTTTTTTAGGATATTATGATTAGTCATATGGAAATCAGTGAAACGAGTTTTAGTTCATCAACAACAAGGAAGGGTACATCGGTTTCGAACCACAAGACATATAATATAATCGAAATTACAAAAATAATCTTGGAAGACATTCAGCCTGCCACGAGAGACCCGTCCGCGATCGTGAAACCGGGCGAGACCAAGATACTTGCTAATCATGACATAAGAAGTATTTCTACTTCTTATTAATAATAATTATTAAAAATGCTAATGTTATGAATATAATTAAGTTAATTCTAAAAGAAAATAATAAAAACTCTAGAAATGCAAAACTATTATACAAAATAATATAAAATTTACTACACGTGTATTATTTATATAACAGAGTAAAATAATATAAAAAGTAAAAGCTTATTATAGAAATATATATATAATATGTATATAATAATAAAATAGACAGAAAATAATTTGATTTAAACAAACGCGTGTTCTTAAAATTATTTCTTCAAAAGTTCAATTATGTAATATTACTATTAATTAACAGTAATGCAATAAAACTTAGTAAATAGTAAATGTACACATAGTAAATTTTTTTTATTTATATTACGCATACATTAAATTATAACTAAAATGATGGACGCATGTTCATGTACACACACAATATGAAATGTGCGTATATGTGTGTGTATACGCACGTATGTGTTTATGTATGAAATGTATACGTATACAATAATCATCATAAATTGAGAATTATTCAATGATCCCATACAGCACCTTTTATAAACGTTCATAGAACATTTTAAGAATGTACCAATATTCTTAGAACGTTCATATACGTTCTATTAATATCATGTGCTATCTGGGATTGCGATACTTAATTCTAATTATTCAAATTGCAAATGGCCCTTGAGAATTTTTCAATCGCGTGATCACACACAGAGCTAATATAAACGTGTTTTAAATTTGAGTCGCATTAAATTTCACTTTTTAGCTTTAACCCAATTTTTTCCCGTATTTATATGTGTTGTAATCATATCCACATGCATCTACTTCGTATCCTTTTGGAATGATAATGCAACTTTGACATTAATGAATTTTAATACTTTCAGACAATGAATTTAATATCCACGAAAAACTAATTTGGAATACAGAAGTAATTATTTATGCAAATCGCGATAATATGCATTGCACTTAATTCATTGTAAATAATTTCTCACATTTTCTAACACAATTACACTTAGCGTCCGTTATAATTAACAATTGATTCGTCATAATCTAAGTCAACTACACAATTGTAAATACAAGAAGCATACTAAATTTTTAACCTCATAAATCTCATAAACCTCATCTAATATCCATCTCTTAGTAGTAATCTTTAAAATTTAGCAAAAAAATTAATTACGCAATACAAATACAAATGGAGTTCATCTCAAAATATTTCTAAAAGATCTTATCAATCTGAGTCGAATTATAATGTTTAAATAATATTTCGGTATGAATCTATATACATATTCAGTTCTATATAAATTTGTACGGAAACATAGTATTTATAAAAAATGTATTTTTATGTTTTCAACGTTGAATTAAATGGTGTAAAAATAAATTATTATATATAATATTTTTAGCTCAATCCAGCTCAGACCGATAAGGCCTTTTCGTTACTTATTGTGTATTCATATTACGGTTTTATTTCACATTGTTTGTTTCTGAAAGAACTTTAATCCATAATGAATTTTGCGACTGAACTTTTACTTGATTAGAAAAGAAGCAGTAATTTTTTTAAAACAATTAATTTCTGAATCTATATATTATGTCTACATACGCTACGTGTAACAATAACACATTGCAAAGATACGCAAGATCGAAAGAAATTTGCGTTTTTTGTATTCGCAGATAGCAATCGCTATCGAATATTGTTTTAGATTCATAAGTATGTTACGATTCGATTATAAATCTTGTAAATATTGAATCATCAGAATCAGTTTTAAATTTCAATACTTATAATGGCACAATTACAATTACTTTTGTGCGTCAACATAATTATTATTCATTATCGTCCATTCACAAAGTACACAATCAGTCGTCGACTAATACCTTTCGCATATGCATTATGTCGAACATGTTAATGACGATAGAAGCTATTGCCTCGCTAGTGAGAGAGCAGATTTCATGAGAAAAGTATCAAAAGGCCTTCTTCTTCCTATTTTAG